CACTGCTACGAGACGGAAAGAGAAATCAAGATCACAGGAATAGGGTTGTGAGGCATTGGAAATGGGGGTAGCAACAGAAACGTTAGCGACTGGGGAGCGATGGTGTCCAACAATTTTGGATAGAATTAGTTTCATTTTGAGAGTTAGAGAAAATTAGGGTATTTTGGGATTATTTGTTTATTTTTTTATTTTTGAAAATTAATGGTATAAGCGGAGAAAAAACCAAACAATTCAAAATGTGTTTGGTGTGAAATTTAAAATAATGTATATTGAGAGTTTGTTTAGCATGTAAGTAGAATTTCCAGATATTGTATGGTATGTAAATAGAAGATCCTTTTTATTTGTATGGGTGATTGTATGGGCACTACAACATATAAGAGTTTTAGAGACCAAGTTTTGTCTCTAAAAATATAAATTTTGTTATAAAAAAATATTTAGAGACTAATTTCAGTTGTTACAAGAACAGTTGTTAAAAGTCATTCCGAAAGTCAAAAAAATGAGCTTGTAGGGACAATTTTTTTAAAATGTCACTAATAAATACACTTTTAGGGACATCCCAAAAAAAGTTTATTTTTTGACAACTTTTAATCCCAAAAAATTAGTAATTCATTACTAAATGTCCAATTTTGTCACTATAAACAAAAATAATAATACTTTTAGCCACAAAAATATTTTGTTCCTAAAACTTGATTTTGTCTCTAAATTTTTGTCTCTAAAACCTTAATTTCCTGTAATGTCATTAGAATTAATTAATAATTTTTGTCTCTAAAACCTTAATTTCCTGTAATGTCATTAGAATTAATTAATTAATTACATGAAGGGTAAAAAATCGTGTTTAACGAGAATTTTAATATTTTCATTTTCTTCTTATTAAACATCCTATGACGTGTTCAATAGTATTTTTTTTTCATTTTTGTTTTTCAAGAGAGACAAATATCATTTTTCACATCTTATGTTTTTCAATATTATTAGAAACAGTAACTATTGCACCAAAAAATATATCAATTAAGACACAAGATATGAATGTAGGATGCACCACTTAACATGAGACTCATAATATTGTATCAAGTTTGTATTTTTGTTGATACACTATTTACTGTTTATAATATTATTGTATGTATTATTTGTAATTTAGGCCAAGTTTGGCATCTACTAAATAATACAAAAAGTCAAAAAGTCACTATCCTATTTAAGTCACATCATCTTATTTAAATCACATCACCTCTCTAACACATCACATCAAACCCAACCCAAACCCAACCCATATAAGCCAATAAGTTAAAAAGTGTACTTTTTTAGAACATCCCAAACCAACCCTTAGTTCAATATGACACTTGCGTTTTTTCTTAAGTAAAAAGTGGAATTCATACATATAATGAATTTTAGTCGTACATTAAGTTATATTTGTGAATAAAACTTTGACCAAAAGTTGGAGGGCAAACAACTTTCTTTTAGATCTTTCTATCATAACGTGTATCATATGTAAATTATGACAATTTATAATATTAAAATACTATAAATGTCATAAATTATTTCTAATCATAACTAAAAAAACACACTAGGTTGTAAGAAAATACCATTTCAGGCATAACGAAATATAAGGTCATAACAAAATACTGCTAAGGCATAACCAAACACTTCTCTTTTTTTTTTACCAGCAAAAAAGAGAGGAATTTTATTGATGAAAAATCAGCATACAAAGGAAAACATCAATAAAAATAGATAGGTGTAAAAAGTATCATAGCAAAACTAAGCGATCACAACTAAAATGATAGTGAAGAAAAAGCCCAATCATTTACTAGTATAAAACCAAGAGTTGACGAGAGATCAACCAAAAACAAACACATAAACAAAGCAAAGTACAACAACCTAAACAACCACTGAATACAGTAATAGTAGCAGCCACAAAAGTAAATAACTCTACAATATAGTGTCCTTCCCAAATGCAAACAGCAGCAACACTTCAAGTCAGATGCATACCATACCAAGTTACTCCAGATGCTTACAACACTGTGATGCCTGTTATAACAACTCCTTGCCTTAGATGAAAACAAAATCTAAACACTCAAGACAAATCACCTCTTCATCAAAATAATAATTACAATAGGACATAAGCACTGGAAATATTATTAAATAACAACTACAACATATCATAATTAAGTCATAACCAATATTATAATGAATCATAATCAAATCATAACAAATACTATAATTGATCATAATCAAAAACTATAAAAATCTGTATATGATACATCTCTTTTCTAAAGCGTGCATAATAGAAGTTTGTTTTTTTTTATAATTTTTTTATTTTTAACCCCACTAAGGACCATCCATCCCACAAATGACAACCATGGGCGCACTTTGCATGAGGGACCCAAATGATGGCAATGGGTGAAGTGTACGGCCCTGGACATACTCAAATGACCAACCCCCCAACCCCCTCTCATGGACACTATAAATTGTCCACACTACCCATTCACCCACCCACCAGCACCACCCACCAAGGAGGAGGAGGAGGAGGAGGAGGGAGATTGTCTAGGAGAGAGATGGGGGTTGAAGAAGGATCATCATCGTCATTGTCAAGGCCGTCAATAGGGTACCCTCTAGGTTTAGCTCTTCTAATGGTGATGTTGCTATGCATGAGTGGCTTCTTCTCTTGTTGCTATCATTGGGACAAGCTTCGATCCCTTCTCCTCCTTCATTCTTCCACGGCTGAAAATCGAACCTCCCAATCCCAACAACTTACTCCTCATTCACTACTCCCTAAAACTACCTTGGTACCTCTCTCTCTCTCTCTCTCTCTCTCTCTCTCTCTCTCTCTCTCTCTCTCCTTGTTGAAAAAACTAAATTATCTTGCTTTACTTACATATATTTTAGAAGAATGATATTGTTTTCTTTCACTTCCTGTGTGAATTCACGTGACAAACAGCATGTGTAAAAGAAAAGAAAAAAAAAAAAAGGTAAATTACACTGACACCCCTGAGATTTATATTTATTACAGTTCTCTCCTCATATTTGGAAAATTACACTGATCCTCTGTTAATTTAATTTTATATATGATGATCATCACGGTGAGGGGAAAAACTGTTATGAAACTTTAAACCTCAAGAGGCAATCTGCAATGAAACTTTAAACCTCAGGGAGAGAAATGTAATTTTCAAAAAGTGGGAGAAAAACTATAATAAATATAAATCTCGGGGGTGTCAATGTAATTTACCCCAAAAAAAAAAAAAATAGTGAGTGTATAACAAGTCTTACTCACATTTGCCGTTCGTCATGTGGATCTGCATAGAATGTGGGGAAAAAATATAAAAAAAATGTAACGGATCTCAAAATATAATATAGATGGCTTTTCTTCCTTCATTTATTTTTAGCGAATTTTAATATATGTATTTCTGGTATTTATAAAAGTCAAAAAAAATTTACAGTATTAATGGGTTGTATTGACCATTTGCAGAAGGAAGAGAAAAATCAAAGTGAGAGCTTGACAGTTTTGATGCCTGGAGACAAGTTCCCCAAGTTTGTAGCACTTCCCAGTCCATGTCTCAAACAAAACCTTAATAATACTTCAAAAACCACAACACTTCCAAGTTTTCCTGTATAGAGAGTAACAATACTGTGTATATAATATATATTGCTAATTTATCAATTTTATTTGCATTTTTTGTGGGTGTGCATGTGCAAGTTCTAAGCAGGGTATGGTATGTATTAATAAGAATTCAAACACATAAACCATCTAGCTCTGCCGTAGTTGGCCATCATGACTCTCCCAATAGTTTTATCTCAAGCGAGAGGCTATGGGATTAACTCTTTCTAAGGGACCTTAGTCCCAGGGAAGGTCATGGACTCTTTTTAAGGAGGCTTAATTCCAGGGGAGAGGTTGTGTTCAACTCTTCCTAAAAGATAATTAAATTAGGAGGTAAACATTTTGTGCTTTATAAAGGTGAGAATCTTATAGGTGTTAATTTAATCTAACTGCCAACTAAATTTTGCCAATCAAAAAAAAAAAAAAAATCAAACACAAAGTATAAATAAAAAATATATATATATTATGTGATATATTCGGATTTTGGAATACACACTTTCAATCACACATTGTTTTTATTAATATTTTTCTATGGAGAAAAAAGATATTGAGAAAATTGTTGAAAAATCCAACTTAAGAAGGGTATGAGGTATTAGTTCTAGTGGATATTTTTTATTGGTGAGAATCCACTTTTTGTTAAATGATTTGGAAATAAATCCTTTTGTTTGTTTTGAAAGACATTTTTTTTTAATTTTACCGATTAATTTATCTGTTGACTTTTTTTTGACAATCTATTCAAATTTATATCTATTTGCTTAAATTATTTTCTATCTGTTCAATTTTGAACCTATCTGTTCAATTTTTTTCCATATCTGTTCAATTTTTTTCTATTCAAATTTTATCTATACAAATTTTATCTATCGAATTTTTTATCTATATAATTTTTTATCTATTACAATTCAACAAACATATTTTTTCTAGCTATTATATTCTCCCTCTTCCAGACATAGATCTAAAACCCTAACTCAAACCCTATCTGTTCTAATGCCTTATTTCAAATTCTGCAAATCCTTTTAAACATTAGATGCCAAAAAAATAAAATTGAGTCTGAAAATACTACATTAGCCACTTTTAACCAACAAAAAACTAAACAGAACCAAACAACACCAACCAGAATAAATCAAAAAAATTATTTATGTGATCAAAAAAATGTGAGTCACAAAACCAAAAAAAAAAACATAAATTATGAATAAGAACAAAATCAACTCCAAAAAAAAAAACAAAAACAAAAAATTATCTGTTGAACATAACCTATCCGTAGGGGCGTAAATTTGGCCTGGCCTGGCCCGGCCCAGGGCTCAGGCCGGCCCATGTCGGGCCTCGCGATATCCCGCCAAAATTTGGATCGGGCCAGCCCACGGGCCAAAAAATTAGTGTTAGCCCCAAGGTTATTCAAATTGAAATTCGTATTGATTTTGATTATTGACAAATATTTTGAACTCAATTTATTATTCAAAGTTTTCAAAATGATTTTATATAATTATGCTTCAATGTTTCTAAAAGATATATACTTCTATAGTGTTGCTTTCCAATGGTTTTTAGCCGCTCAAAATATGAAATTAGCACATGCATGCAAAAAACTATTTATGCTTAAAACTGGTCCAAGGGTCGACGCCAAAATAGCAAGGGTCGATACCAAAGTGAAGCTCAAAATGCCAAAGTGTTCTAATTGCAAGGGTTGGCACCAAGACAATAAGGATTGACACTAAATTTCAGAACACAATCCAGTAGCAAGGGTCGACACTAAATTTCATAATACAATCCAGCAGCAAGGGTCGACACTAAATTTCATAACACAATCCAGCAGTAAGGGTTGACACTAAATTTTATAACACAATCCAGCAATAAGAGTCGACAGCAAGAACGATAAGGGTCGACACCAAGAATACCTGGAAATCAATTTAGAGAAGAAAAAAGAGCAAAGAGTTGACACCCAATCTGTAGGGGTCGACACCCGTAAATTCTGGGTTTCAAAAATCCAGCTATCAAATCAAATCTGGACTAACACAACTCTTTTCTCAGCCACTTTTTCTGATCTATGTGCAAAATATGACATCAGTTTTGATCCCTTAGCAGATTTTTTATCACTATATCTTCTATCAAGAGTTGACTTGTGAAGGCGAGCATTTAATGAAAAACTTGTGCATTTAATGATCCTTCTCTTCCCAAGACCTGTCTACAGTCTGTATACACCATGCTCTAATCAACACAGCAGGAAGATATCCTCCATGATTTGCTCCAACGGCTAGAAGATTCAAATTTGCTTCTCTCCAACAGCTAAAAGCCATTAATGCTATAAAGAAGAAGCTTTCCTTGTTCAATGAACACACTTCTTCAATACAAGAAACCCAGAGCATTCAAAAGCCTTTAATATACTCCATTGTACTTCCATTTTCATATCTGAGAGAGTCTTAAATTCCCTGTGTGCTTACATTTTCATATCCATCTTTCGAGAGAAAATTTGTAAAAGATGACAGTTGTAGCTCTTACTCTTGTTCCTTATTTTCTGAGTGATACAATTGTAAAGTGAGGCATTTAGTTGAGAGGTCCTAAACAGATTGAAGTAACTTCTTTGTAAAAATCCACAAACTAGGTGAAGCTTGTTGGTGCATTGATTCAAAGTGAAGAAATTCTCAAGAAGGTATCTTGAGGAATAGATGTAAGCCAGTGAGCCGAACCACTATAAATCCTTGTGATTGAGCTCTTCTTTCCTTTTCTTTTATTTCTCTGTGTATTAATTGTTTGTCTGCTGTATTTAATCACTTAGTCATTTGAAATCTATTTTGTGATCATATTTTTTAATTACCCAATTCACCCCTCCCCCTCTTAGATTGTCTTCTTGTGTAACAATTGGTATCAGAGCCTCATCTCTAATTTTGTGACTTAACCGTCTTAGAGTAATCTATGGAAACCCCTAGCTCCTCTCTTCTTGAAGGTCAAGCCTCAAACAGACCACCCTTCTTCAATGGCACAAATTTCAACTATTGAAAAACCCGTATGATTGTGCTTATTCAATCTATCGATTATGAGGTTTGGAAAATCATCTGTGATGGTCCCAAAGTCCCCACCAAAACTATAAACGGTCTGTTAGTTCCCAAACTTGAGAGTGAATGGACTAATGTTTATTAAAAAGATATTCAAGCCAATGCCAAAGCTATTAAAATGTTGCACTATGCACTTGATGCTGCTAAGTTCAGCAAAATATGCACTTGTGCAACGGCGAAAGAAATTTGGGTTAAACTTATTGTAGCTCATGAAGGAACTACTCAAGTCAAAGAGTCTAGAGTTAGCTATCTTGTTCACAACTATGACCTCTTCAAGATGAAACTTGATGAGAACATATCCCAAATGTGCACCCGCTTTACAAATATTATAAATAGTCTAAAATCTCTTGGAAAGACTTATACTAATATAGAAATTGCCAAAAAAGTCCTCAGATCGTTGCCAAAAAGCTAGTAAACCAAAGTTGTTGCAGTGATAGAAGCAAGGGACTTATCAACATTAAGCCTTGATGAGTTAATGGGATCTCTCCTAACCCATGAGCTCATTATGCAAGAAGGAAAAGAAAAAGAAGAAAGGGATAGCCTTCAAGTCTACCTCAAAATTTCAAGAGAAAGAAAAAGATGCTTCAGATGAGGATGAAGAAATGGCATTCATTACCAAGAGGTTCACAAGGTTCGTAAAGAAGAAACAATGTGAAAGGAAGTTCTTCAGAAAAGACTTCAACAAAGATTTTCAAAAAGGAGAAAATCATAAAAAATTAGAAGTTACTTGCTACGAATGCAACAAACCAGAACACTGCAAACCCAAATGTCCGGAGCTCAAGAAACAATTTAAGAATGACAAGAAGAAAGCCATGATCGCAGCATGGAGAGCAGACAGTGATGACAACGACTTAAAAACTGATATTTGCAAAAATGAAGTCGCAAATCTATGCTTGATGGCACTTGAAGATGAAAATGAGGTAAATGATGAATCATTTACTTTTGATGAATTACAAACTGCCTCTGATGAATTGCATGCTAAATTTAAAAAAACTAAGTTTGAAAAGTAGTTGTCAAAAGAAAATGATTTTGAGTTTATCACAAGAAAATGAATCCTTGATTTCTAAGATCAATATTTTAGAAAATGAAGTCTTATCAATGGAAAAGGAGAAAGAAGTTTCAACTGAAAAAGAATCTTCCATCTTTGAAAAGAAAATAGATGATTTGCAAAAAGAAAATGAAATTTTGAAAAAGAGAAAATTGTTTTAAATGAAAACATAGAAGATTTAAAAAAAATGTTCTTTTAAAATTCACTCAAGGTAAAGATACCTTAGATAAAATTCTCAAAAGTCAAAATCAAACCCTTGGAAAAATGGGGATTGGATATAAACATTTTTCAAAAGAAAAAAATTCCAAAAAGACCTTTGTTCATGCATCATCTAACCACTCTCATCTCACATGTCATTATCGTGGAATAAAAGGTCACATCTCTCCTTCATGTCCTGTTAAGAGAAACTCATTTGTTATAATGAAAAAGGAGTAGGTTCCCAAAAACACTGCAAATCCTAACTCTCATGGACCCAAGAAAGAATGGGTACCAAAAGGCCAACAAAAATCTAATTTTTGCAGGTGTGCTTTAGGTCAAAATCCAGCAACAACTGATGGTACCTCGACAGTGCGTGCTCAAGGCACATGACCGGCAATAGAACAATGTTCTCAACCCTTAAATCCAAAGAAGGAGGTCACGTAACCTTCAGAGACAATAGTAAAAGAAAAATCATTGGCGAAGGTAGTATTAGAAAACTTCACCCATTATCGAAAATGTGTTGCTTGTTGAAGGATTAAAACATAACTTACTTAGTATTAGTCAAATGTGTGATAAAGGAAATCATGTCACTTTTGAAAAATCCCACTGCACCATTAAAAATTCTCCTGATAACAAAGTGCTTTTTGTTGGTCATAGGCATGAAAATGTGTATGTATTTGATTTGCATAGTTTATCTCCTAATCATAATGTTAAGTGCTTATCTGCTATAAATGAATCTAGTTGGTTATGGCATAGAAGGTTAGAACATGCTCATATGGACTTGCTTTCAAAACTTTCAACATTTGACTTGGTTATTGGTTTACCAAAAATTGATTTTGAAAAAGATAGACTTTGTGATGGTTGTCAACAAGAAAAACAAACAAGAGTTTCTTTCAAATCCAAAAATATTATTTCCACTTCTAGACATCT